TAAACTCTTCACCAAATATACCATCTCTATGGTTCTGTGTAGTTCTTTGAGATAAATGTTCTAGAACGTCAGGTGTTATATTTCCATCAGCCATGTTCATTTCATACTGGTCCAAAATATCTGCATGTTTCATATCTTTCAATGGCATTAAAGCCGCGCTTAAAATACCAGCTATATCTCGTTCACCATTGACTTCCATTGCGTCTACAACTTCTTGGAATTGTGGTTGTAAGTTTATGAACCACCTATCCGGATTAGCTTTATGACCCCATCTCATTGTAGTTCCATCGTCTGCAGAAACAAAAGTAGGTTTGTTTCCATCTTGGTTAGGTTCTGAATGAACTTTAAACAATGTTTCATTTCTATATGTTTTCTTGAAATTTAACCTTTTATTTTCACCGAGTTCATCCAAAGATTGAACGTTAAATGCTCGTAAGTAAAAAGGGTTGTTGTATTTGTGTACATTTTTTTTCAGTTCTTCCATTCTATGCTGGATATTTTCATCTGATGTTGGAGTCTTTTGTATGTCGGCAAACATTTTTCGATATTCTTCTACTATGTCAGCCGAATTTTTTTTAGACTCTTGGAAATATTCCATATTCTCCGCATACTCTTGTTGAGGGTCAAGATTTTTCGGCTGTTCCAAATCTTCATCTAGTTCTGTGAAGTTAGTTTCCAAAGGAAGGACTTGTTCGTTTCCTTCAGGCTCTTCTAGCTGTTGTTGCTGAACTATTTCTTCCATGTCTGGTTGTATCTGAACTTCTTCCTGTGGAGTTTCTTGTACCTCATCTGCTGGCATTTCATATATTCCGAGACCGTTTTCAACAATTTCCCTATCTACGTCATCCGCATTCATAAGCTTTTGTTCTTTCGTTCCGTCTCTATTTTTTACGCGTTTCATGACGAAAGTTGAATTGTCATTTAGCTCTGACATCAAATATCTCGGAGTAAATTCATCCATGTCATTTGGATGATATGCTATTAAATCATATCCCTTAGCGAGCTTGTATTTTCCAGGTTTGAGATTATATCCGTTTTGGTGCTGAGCCATAAAGCTAAATAGGTTCGGGTCAGTATTTCCATCCTTGAACTTTCTAATAGCTTCTTTATATCTGTCACTAAAGTCAACAGTATCTGGGAAACCACACTCTTCTTTAAGCATTTTTAAGAATTCTTGGTTTCCTTGTTCTCTACTTCTTTTATGTCCTTGCTCTGTTTGTGGTTGTTGTTGTGCAGGGTTTTGAACTGTTGGTTGCTGTGCTGGTTGTTGTGTTGGTTGTTGTGCTGGTTGTGGAGGTGGTTGTTGTGCAGGGTTTTGAACTGTTGGTTGTTGTGCATGCCTGTGTCTGTGTCCATGTGACGATGTAAATGTTCTAGGTAGTCCTGGTGCAGGTGCTTCTCTTGGAGGGTTTGGTGGTATATAAGTTCCACCAGCTGGCACATATGTTCCATCTGCAGCGTAATGTCCTACCTGACTTTTCGTTTTTAAGAAAGCATTTACTAGGTCTGTTTTGGTCTGTTGTAACTCTTTTTCTTGACTTTTCACAACAGTTGCTCTAACGGCGTCATAGGCACTTTGAACTGCCTGTCTCGTTGCTGCATCTGTTATTTTCGTCATATTTTGTGCTACTTCTTTTAACTCTTTGTCGAAACCTTCAGACTTCAGTTTCTTTCCAGATGAGAAGTCGTTCACTTGTTTCACCTTACTATAAAGAGCTTCGAAGGCGTTCTTAAAGTCAGCATTTGTTAAAGCTTCATTTGAACTGTCTTCATCCGCTTGTATTTTTGTCCTTATTGACCCTATGAGTTGGGCTGCTTTGGCGTTGGCTTGGGCATCTAACCAGTCATTGTTGGCTTTTATATATTCTGCGCTTTTCATTGCCTTTTGCATGGCTGCGTCGTTATTTTTACTTTCTTGTGCTAAGTTTTCATACTGTACGGTTTGGTTTTGCAACTGTAAAAGTTTTTCTGCCTTTACATTTGCTTCAACTTCTTTTTTATACTCATCGCTATCCATATATGTCTTCAGGGCTTTTTGTTTTATTTCTTCATCTTTCAGTACTTTATATTGAGTAGTATGGTTTTTCAAATTTACAACATCTTGTTCCATTTTTGCTACTTCTGCTGCTTTTTCTGACACTTTTTTCGCATATTCCTCTGTACTTAGTTCTTTCAGTTGTTCTTCTTTCTTCTTTTTCTCTACGTTTAACTCATTGAGTTTCTTTGTGTGTCTGTCATATTCTAGTTTCTTTTCGTTTTCACTTATTTGCTTCTGTATGTCTATGTTTGACTTTTTGACATCTGTTATTTGATTTTTGAGTGAACTCAAATTCATTTGACTTTGAGGGTTATAGGCTGTTCCGTCTGCAGCTCCACCATAGCCTGCCATTTTCGCTAAAAGTGCCGCTCTTAAACCTCCACTCTGTGCACCAATGACTCGGTTTAAAAGCATAGGATTGCTTGACATTTGTTGCAACATAGTGGGGTCATTCATAATTTGTTGTTGCAACTGTTGTTGTGGTGTCAGTTTTACTATTGGATGTTTCAATGCTCTCTTCCTCTTATGTATATTCTTACGTAGCTTACGTGGCATTTTAAGTAAAGTTAAAAAGCGGCTTTTGACAGATGGAACACATACTTTTTCAGTAAGGACATATGAGGTGAGATGTCACCTGTTTTCTCACCTCATTTCTCACCTCTTGAATTTTCATGAATTTCTTCGTAAAGACTTTGTTAAGACTTCTTCGTAAAGACTTTGTTAAGACTTCTTCGTAAATGTTTTGTCAAGACTTCTTCGTAAAGACTTTGTTAAGACTTCTTCGTAAATGACCAAAAATAATGTTTAGGTGAAGAGGTGAGATGTCACCTGTTTTCTCACCTCATTTCTCACCTCTTGAATTTTCATGAATTTCTTCGTAAAGACTTTGTTAAGACTTCTTCGTAAAGACTTTGTTAAGACTTCTTCGTAAAGACTTTGTTAAGACTTCTTCGTAAAGACTTTGTTAAGACTTCTTCGTAAAGACTTTGTTAAGACTTCTTCGTAAAGACTTTGTTAAGACTTCTTCGTAAAGACTTTGTTAAGACTTCTTCGTAAAGACTTTGTTAAGACTTCTTCGTAAAGACTTTGTTAAGACTTCTTCGTAAAGACTTTGTTAAGACTTCTTCGTAAAGACTTTGTTGAGATTTCTTCGTAAATGACCCTAGTAGTATATTTTTGGTGTAAATTTCATGAAAATTCAACGGGTGAAAAATTAGGTGAGAAAACAGGTGACATCTCACCTCTTCACCTAAACATTATTTTTGGTGTAAATTTCATGAAAATTCAACGGGTGAAAAATTAGGTGAGAAAACAGGTGACATCTCACCTCTTCACCTAAACATTATTTTTGGTGTAAATTTCATGAAAATTCAACGGGTGAGAAATGAGGTGAGAAAACAGGTGACATCTCACCTCTTCACCTAAACATTATTTTTGGTGTAAATTTCATGAAAATTCAACGGGTGAGAAATGAGGTGAGAAAACAGGTGACATCTCACCTCTTCACCTAAACATTATTTTTGGTCATTTACACTCATTACGAAGAAGTCTTGACAAAACATTTACGAAGAAGTCTTGACAAAACATTTACGAAGAAGTCTTGACAAAACATTTACGAAGAAGTCTTGACAAAACATTTACGAAGAAGTCTTGACAAAACATTTACGAAGAAGTCTTGACAAAACATTTACGAAGAAGTCTTGACAAAACATTTACGAAGAAGTCTTGACAAAACATTTACGAAGAAGTCTTGACAAAACATTTACGAAGAAGTCTTGACAAAACATTTACGAAGAAGTCTTGACAAAACATTTACGAAGAAGTCTTGACAAAACATTTACGAAGAAGTCTTGACAAAACATTTACGAAGAAGTCTTGACAAAACATTTACGAAGAAGTCTTGACAAAACATTTACGAAGAAGTCTTGACAAAACATGAAAACATATATAATTTGTGAAAAGTGAAACATTATATAATGTTTTCGACCAAGAAGACTAACAATTTTCCGAATAAAAACTTCATTTATACTAAACATCTTCAGGGCTAGAGGGCACGAAGTGCCTGGAAGCCCCACTACCTTTTTTTTTTTTTTTTTTTTTTAATTAAAGTATTTCTGATGGACAAAATGTGAGATTTATATCAGATAATTCATTTCTACTATTAAGTTATTCATTTATGAGTTTGCACTTATTCGCACTAAATAAATAACTATTAAAAATTGTTTTAATTAATTGACACCATATAATAGAGTGAAATTTGTTTGATCAAACAACAATAGATGATAGATATAAAGCCAAGAAACTTGCTATTAATATGCTCTACTTGCTATTTCAATGTAAGTATGATATTTTCTAAATGTTTCGTTCAGATAACTTAGATATATTAGTCAAAATTTGAAATTTTAATAGCACATATATTAAAAATAATTATTATTCATAAAAGATTAATGAAATAGTAAAAAAAAATCAATCAAATTATAAAAATACAACATATGGTTTTTTATGGTTGTCTCATAATAGCATTTCATGAGAAAAAATATAATACTATTTATTTTTGCATAGTTCAATTTTTTTAAATAATGCAAGATATCCCGCCATTAGTTTTCATGAAATAATCCAAAAATCAACATACACTTGAGAACATAGCAGCTCTACATGTTTTCGCTATTTATTTTCCAATAATATGAGGGGTTCACGGGATAAAGCTTCATTAAGCATAATTGATTACAATATCATCATATATATAGAACATATAACAAATGGGATATTTGTATACTAAAATAAAAAAGGAGCAAATTATATAATTTTTGTCATGCTACTTATAGGTTCAAAAATCTTATAATATAAAAATATTTTCAAATACAAAGAAAATATGTGTTTATTTCAAATTTGAAAATTAGATATCTTGTGGGGTCCACTTTCCTCCTCTGTAATCACCTGTAGGGTTATCCTTAGGAAATCTTTTTGCATTTCTTGCCTTGTTGATCTCTTTTCTTGTTTCTGGTGTAGCTTTCTTTTGATTTCTGGATTTATTTTTCTCATATTCAAGTTTTTGGAGTTCGCGGATTGAAGGAGATATTTGGTAATTATTGACACGATTGTATATTTCTTGTTTGCATTTCTCTCCTTCGTTTTTTTGTAAAATTGTAACAGCCGTACGCATTTCAAACGATTTTGCGTTGTTTCCTTTGGGACACTGAGTAAGCATTGAGTGATGATGTATCGATTCATTTTGTTGTGTTTGAGCATTAGGATCAATTTCTGGAATCAACTTTGCGGCATCATCTGTAAAACGTTGAAATTGCTTCGCTAAATCAGGTTTTGTAAGTGGCTGAAACACAGGATATTCTTTGTCTTTTTCGTGAAGGCAATTTTCATGCCTTCCGATAAAATGATTTAATGTATTCTTCCATAGGAAAATTTTTTTCGTTGTTTCAATTGGAAGCATGATAATAAAAGTGAACCACTTAATAACTTTCGAATATATCTGATGAAATACTTTTTCTTGGTGTTTTAATGGTCTTCCACGTTTCTTCGGCTCTTCTGCTTTAGATTTGATTGGGAATGCTGGCTGTGATTCACTTTCTTTCTGTTGATTAACAGTTTCTTTTCCTGCTGCTTCTTTATATCCACCATTTTCAAGCTTTTCGAAAGCTCTGCCAACTGCACGTACACAATGACGAGGATCAAGTGTAATTTTAGCATTCGGAGCATATTGCTGGATGATGGCTTTCGTTTTATTGTCATTGTCATGAACCACTGTGGAAACATTTGTAAAGTCAAAATTTGACATCATCCTCTTTGTACATTCTGTTTCCATCATGTTGGATGGGCCTTCAAAGTCTCCTCCAGAGCTCTTTTTTATAACAGTTGTTTCACCAACAACTTTTCCACGGTTGTCCATCATTAAACTTTGGCACGCTGTAGCATTTCTGCCAACATTATAATGCGAATCAGTGCTTAAAAATGTATCTTTCTTCATTGTTTGTTGAGCATTTTTAATAGATTGCTCTTTATATTCTAGTATTACCTTACCTATTTCTTTTTGATGACGGTAAAACTCTTTTTCACTCGGCACTTTAATATTGTTATCTTGAAATAAATTCCTTGCTCGAGTATAAGAGTCACCATTAACAATTACAGAAGCAGTCCAGTGTTTTGGATCGACTTCCTTTGGCGCATTCTTTTCTTGGGAGTTTTTTCTTGCTTCAATTGATTTTTCGTTAGCTTCACGACTTTGTTGTTTGCGTCTGCTTGGTGGAGGCATATTACGTAAATGGTCGGCAAAAAATGTAATAAACGTAGTGAATAATTAAAAAGATTGCTTTATATAACAAATATAATCATTTTTTCCTTAGAAATCCCATTATTTGCATAACAATATTTAAAAATATTTTTTTGATATAGTTTACAGTCACATCAATATGAACTATATTAAACTATCAGAAACTTATGTATGTTATTAGTAAAGTTGAAATTTTTATCATATTTACACATTAAATTTAATTTTCATGCATATTTAAGTTTTTTTCAACACAATCTTGTATTGTTAGTACCGACAATATGAAAGAAAGTTATACTGTATTTAATTTTAGCAATAAACAAAAAAATCTAAATTATATCTTTAGATACTAGGATTGATTTAATGACTAAGAACGTTTTTATCAATAATACCATGATTCATAACATATAGACATAACCTAAATATACCAAAGCATTTCTACTTGGAACTAGCGCATCGCCAAAATAATGGGTCAATATTCATTTGACGTAATGCTGATCGAGAGAAGTCTTTATATATAAGCCTTATCACAATGCCACGAATGCACCCAGCTGCAGGCGTGTCTTGTTTAACATTCATTCCTATATATGATGGAACATTAATCAATAATCATGGAAGTATCACTTTTCAAATAACATCATTGTTAAATGAAAGAAAATTGTATGCAAAATTACATTTTGGTAATGGTGAGACGCAATATGTTGAAGTATATATCATTATTATTTAATATACAAACAAACTCTAGTACAAAATTGTATTAATTCAACTTTCATGTCTAATATAAAAACTTTTTTTAAAAAAAGAGATATAATCGTGTATAATATGAGAAAAATGAATATCAATACAAAATAAAATATCAATTAGCTATTGCTGATGACATATCATGAATATTGATCATTTGATTTGATTAATTTTGATAAATATTAGGCTTTTTGCTAGTTACATATTACAATAAGGCTTTTAAATGGATATTTATTGATATGAGCTTATTTCAAAATGACAGTCTTTGATTTATCCACTAATAAGATTTGATGTCACAAAAATCTAGATTTTGGGGCATAAAAACCTAACACCAAATCATAACTTCTGTGCATATACTAAATTGAGTACAGAAATATGTTAATTTTCAGTATTTTTAGAAGAATTCTTATTATCCTTCAAAAAGTCAGTATTTCTGCTGTAATTTTCTACAACATTGTAGTTATTGCACTTTGTCTATGGATTTGTATATATGTTATATATAAATTATATATCTAAACTGCCCATAAGTGCAATTTTTATATAAATTGTTTATTTCTTTAACAATTTCATATGAAATATGCTTTTTTAAGCGTATCAAAGCTGTGTTCTTAATGTGCATGGATATATCAAGAAAAATGTCGAAAAAAAATGTGAATTCACAAATTCACTGAATTTTCACCGTTTTTTGAATTTTGCTACAGCACTAATATTAAATAATACTAAAATCTTCTGTCTTTGTAAAAGAATAAATTCTGACAAAAAGTGCTCGTTTAAATTTAATGATCATCTGTATGACTAAGTGGTAAAAAGTGTTTATGACCAAAAAAGGGTTACATGCTTAGTCTATTTTTCTGACAGGATACTCTAGATTTACATGATCTCTATTTCATATCTCCGTTTTTAGATTCTTCGACAGATTTTATGATAGAAAACCAAGATTAACAAATTTCCGGCATGTTAATGAAGAAATCTGCAGCTACCCTCAATATTATTTCAATAATCAGTATCGTTTCTCTTACAATTTATTTTTTTCTCAATAATTTAACAAGAAATAACAATACACACTTGGTTTTACGTATAAAAGCTAAGTGTCGAACTTAATCAACTTTACTTACTTAGCAAATGAATATTTTTGTGGTTGCGAGTTCTGAATGCTGAAGTTTTAGATTTCTCTATAAATGATATCATTGCACTTACAATGTTGTTCCAGCCTATCGCATAAATCATAGAAAATCCAAAAAAAAATAATATAAAGAAAATTCATGTCATGAAGTTCAAAAAATACCGTGTAACATTAAAATTTGTTATGCATAATACATTTTAGCTATTATTGATTTTTTTTAATTTTCGAGAAATTGAATGGTGAGTCCGATAGAGAAATTTTTAAAAATCCTAGTGCCTCATAGAAGTAATTTCCCTCGTCTCCCATACTTCCAAATGTATGCATATGACATAAACTTTTATGCATTACACAAGTGGCCAATAATATCTATAGAGTAAAAAATTAGAAATTTAATTTTTTTATATGATAGTTATATTTCAGATTTGCGAGCGTAACTTTTTTCTGCATGGCATACTTGTTTTAAGAGCAAATGATCAAAATCGTCCTTCAATTATTGAAGGAGCTGATATCTTTTGAAAATTGAATTGAAAGGGTATTCAATTTTCAAATTTCCTCTCAATTTTGGAAACATATCAACTCTATGAATTAACAATTATGTGCCTTCACAGTTTATCAGTCATATAAGGTGCTTATAAAGAAAAAAGTTACGCTCGCAAAATATGTTTTTATATAGATTTCACATAAAATAATTATGTAATTTCTAAAAAGAATATTTTTGTTCTTGAATATTAAAGTGTATTGTAGTTTAAAAAGTTTTAAATATGTTGCTAAAATTTCAGGTTTATAGCTCATGTCTAGCATGACTTCTTCGTATGCGCAAAAAATCTGACACGTAAGGGTATCCTTAAGGGGAATATTAATAATTAAGGGGGATATTAATAATTAAGGGGAAAAATGTGTATGTTTTATTTGTTAAAACTAATATCAAAAAAAATATATTATATCTTAGCGCGCACCAGCGGCGTTCTTGAGGATACCGATGAGTCCGTCACCAGCCATTTCCTTGGAGAGTTCAGCAGTGAACTGGTTGATGATAGAAACAGCGAGGATGATACCTGTTCCTGATCCGAATGCAGACAAGAAGTCAGCGACGAATGAGAGGAGAGCGACAAGGATACCACCGAGAGCTGCAGCTGTTGGGATGTAGCGAGAAAGTGTCTTCTCGAGTCTCTTCTGGTCTTCTCTGTGTCCCTTGAGTGTAAGGTGCTGCTTCTTGAGGGCTTCAGCGACATCAGCTGGTGCCTGGTTGGAGAATCTAAGGTAGTAGTATGAGATGAAGCCGGCGGATGAAAGAGAGAAAATGAGGTAAATAATTGTATGAAGTGGGTCGTGGATTGTTTGTTGGATGGACTGTGGTGCTGTCAAGTAGTAGATAAGGCCGGAAACTGGTGTGGAGTAGTCATAGGACATTCCGTTGTGTGAACGCCAGACACCGAAGATTTGTGTGGCAAGAGACTCTGGCCAGTGGAAGTAGATGGTGCGGGAGAAGCCAGCAAGCTGGGAAAGGATTGTAGACTGGATGATAGGTGGTGTGTTGGAGCAATAGAACAACTTGATCTCGAATGGCTCTGGACGGGCACGGTTGACTGTTGTTTCGAGGCCAATGTTGATCTTAATCTGGTCGAAGTAGACGCAGGCACCGAAAACAATGACTGTAGAGAATAATTGGCAAAGATTTGGTAATTGTGGGCGGAAAACGATATCACGGAGTGCGCGTAGCTTGTTCTTGCGTGTGAAGAGGTAGTGGAAGAAAGCAATGACAAGGCCTTCGTACTCTGTTCCGCGGCCCATGGAGTAATGGTTGAATGAGAAGAGTCTCCACATGATCATTTCGCAGATGTTTGTGCAAATGAAGAGAGAAATGCCGGAGCCGATACCATAGCCGTTCTGGCAAAGTTCATCAAGAAGAATAACAACAATAGCAGAAGAAACAAGCTGTGTCATGATGAGAGCAGCGTTGACAAAGCCGATTTCGCCACGGATGCCGTATTCGCCGGACCAGATAGCGTTACCAGCCTGGAAAGCAGTCATAATGATACCGGCCAATTTCTGAGCAGCATCAAAGAGGGCTGAGGCTTCTGGATCTGATGGGTTTCTGTTGATAAGACCGAAAGAGCAGAGGAACTGAAGGATCATACCTGATGTAACGATTGGGGAAATACCGAATTCCATAAGAGAGTACTTAGAAGAAGCTGTAAGGATACGAAGGTGCTGCATTGGGTCATCACCGGCTGTCTTTTGGACGCCGTAAAGTGGAACAAGTGTGCAGATTAAATATAAGGCCAAAGAAGCGAATGTATAGAACAACCGCTTGCGGATTGGAACCTTCTTGTTTGGACGTGGAACGTTTGGCATAAGTTCAAGAACAGGCCTGATGGACTTAAGAATATCAAAACCCATTTTTTTATTTGTTCTTACTGAGAGACCGATAAAAAATTGACATCTCACTTTTTTCGTTTTGATTTTTTATTTTAGGGGATGACAATAGTGTTTAGACCCTTTTATAAAAAATCAAGAAATGAGTTTTCATACATTACTTGATGATCTTTATATTGATCTTCCAGATTGGTATAATAATACATTTCATTTCAATGCGAAGACCACATGTATGTCAATTTCGTACCATGGCGCAATGCTTGCTGTAGGTCTTGCTAATGGTCAAACGTGTCTGATTGATTCTTTTTCGGGATGCGGTGACCATCAGTTTTTTAAGCATAAATCCGCTGTTGTTGACTGCTCTTTTTCAAGAGATGGATTCTTACTTGCTCATTGCGATAATAAGAACCTTACCATTCATAACATTCAGACAAAACAAGTTGTTTTCGAACAGAATTTCGATGATAAAGTACTTTGTATACAGTTTTCGCGTATTAATCCACAATTAATTTACGTTTTAACATCTAACGCAAATTCCTTAATCAGATTCAACTTATCAACAAGAGAATCTATGGTATTTAACGGATCATTTACAATTTTCAATATTTTGCCAAATGATTTCATTGTTGCTGCGAAAGGAAGCAGAATTACGCTTATTGACACAGAGAAAAACGCTGTAGCAAAAGTATTCGATGCGCCCGCAAAGAAAAATATATGCTCAATCGAAGTTTCTCATAAAGGAGAATTAATAATAGTTTTAGACAAGGCAGGAGCTGCCCATTTACTAAACGTTAACACAGGAGAGTTCAAGCATAAGTTCTGCGACCACGTTGGCGATACAAGATTTGCAACAGCAAGCTTTGATCGCCATGATGAACATGCGATCTTCGGAACATCAGAAATTGCAGACGCATCATTCGCGGCATACGAACTTGATTGTTATTCTCTACGTAAAAACTTTACTAATGGCCCTCGCGAAGTAATTCTACAGTTAATTTTCCATCCTGTCCATCCAATTGTATTTGCACGCGCTATGAAAGGAATACACATATGGCGCGCTGTTTACAAGAACAGATGGATACATTCTGTGCCTGAACTTGATAACATGTTTACAAATGAAATGTATCAAGAACCAGAATGTGAATTTGATGCTGAATTCGAAAGTGGCGTTAGGAATGTTGAAGATTTGTCCGGCCATCCTGTTGATATATTTACAAAAGTTCCATTTTCAATTTTTGAAAGTGACAAAAACTATCCAAATCAACTTATCACGCTCCCAATAACTATTGAAGATATTAAAGCAGGAGTTGATGAAGAAGAAAGTGAGGATGAAGAAGATTATGATGAATAAAGATGTTATTTTTTATATTTACCTTAAAACAAAAGAAAGATAGATAGGAAATGATTTCATACCTAAAATTCGAAATGAGTATAGTTTTATATGAAGCAATCTGCAAATATCTTCTCAGCAATTGTTAATTCTATGATATTTCAGCAGTTACCTCATTGCATCAGCATAAATCAAGTAATTAATTTCATTTATTGAATATTTAAACAAGGGAATGCTAAATATTAGCTCATTTCAAATATTCAATGAATCTTTAAATGTATATAAGTTGTGCAATCACTCAAAATGTTTAATTGGAGCTAAATCAGTCTTGTACCTTGGTAATTCTGGAATTCATGTTGGCAATAAAAAGAATTAGATAGAAATGTTAGTTCATTGAAAGAAATTAATTGAAATATTCTAGTAGCTTGTTTTTATTACTTGAAAATGATATGTTGATAAAAAAAATTTTATAAAATTTCCATCAAAAATCAAAAATATATGAGTGATTCAACAATATTAACCATACTTAAAACTCTCAGAGAGAAGCAATTGGAGATACATTACAACAATTCTTTTAATATAGAAACATATAAGTCTGTTACAGAAACCTCAGAAACATTACAAGATAAATACGACGAAATTAAAGTTCTCTTTGAGCAATACTACGATAAAATCTTTGCGCAGTATCTCACCGATGTTCCTAATCGCTACGATTTTGTCAAAAATTTCAATTACTTTTTATATGAAACAAAAGTAGGCAATGAATCTCACGAAGAATACATGAACAAACAACGCAATAATAAATTGGAAGATTTTAGGAAACTCGTAAAAATCGAATTAATATCTCCACAATTCGTTGCATTTTTCTCAGAACAGATCAACGTTATTCATAAATTCTACAAATCAACGATTTGTGCTACAGACGAAGAGGTCTACGAATCATTTAAAAAGAATTTCCAACAACATGCTAAACAATGTCCAAAATTTATAAAAGAACTATTCAAAATTGCAGGAACAGAAATTGTACTCAGAATTTCCGATTTGATGAGCGATTATCCTCATTATCTAGGAATTATTCCTTATGATACCTTTGGATTCATCAAAAGAACAGAACTGAAAAAAATAATAAGCCTGTTTGAGTCGGACACCGAATTTTGGAACGAAATCATTGCAGGATTCCAAGGATCACTATCATCAGATGAATCCGGATATATTCCAAAGCAAACTGTTGCAGAATTGAATAAGAAAGCCTCTGAGAAGGCAACAACAGTATCAAAGCAGTCATTGCGTACTATTCTTAAAGTTATTCCTCTTTTTCCTGAAATAGAAGGTTCCATCGAAAAAAAAACATTTGAAGAATACTTAAAAAGTAGTATTTCGATGATTCCTTTGAATTTAAGGAGATCAACGAAAGTCATATTGAAAACACAGTTTGATAATCTCCATAAGAGTATCACTGTTTCTGGAAATGATCAGAATCCACTTCAAACTCCATTTGAAATTTTGAGACAAAAAACAATTACACATCTCAGTAACATTGTCAATAAAATTAATACAACAAAAAAGGATCATTTCTGTGACTACTACTTGATACAAGAAAGGATTAAGAGTCTATTTGAGTTCAAGACATGTTATGAACCAATTATTAATAACTTAATTGAGTTTCGTAAATCACAAGATAGTTTGTCGAATTTTGTTCCGAATGAAAAAAAAGTGATAGAGGAAAATATCAATAATCTCAGAATGTTTAAACAAAAGCATACAATAGAAGATGAGAAAATTATGAGAAACATCAGATATCCATTCCATAAATTCTCTAAAGAAGATTTGCAGATTATGACTCCTTACCAAATACAGTTCACGGAATCAACAGAGAGTCTTTTGATCTGTAAAAACATTTCTTATTTGATTGAAGTCGACTTTAACCCTCCAACGAAACTGGACATGATTAACAATCAACTGAAAAAGTTCATGAATCTCGCCAGATCAAACGGTGAATTAAATTTCATTTTTGCTGCGTTTTTGGCACCAAGAATCTTTTCTCCAACAATATATAGTACAATCCTGTACTTCGAAAAAGATATAGAAAACAATAAAGTGAAATACCAGTACGTTGATTTCATTAGGAAGGATTATGAAAGTCATTATTTCAATTAACTTGATTCATAGTGGAATAAATTTTATTTAATTTTTTTAATTTTTATTTTTTCACACACACACACACTCTCTATATATATATATATAATTTTTACTTTGAAAAAGATCTAGAAGATAATTCCCTCATCTATGGCTCTCTTCTCATAATTTTTGTAGTACTTAAATTTCCTTTTTCCAAGGATACATTATTGCTTTTATTCAATGAAGATATACTCTCTATGCACACCAATCTATATGTTTATATATTTCTATAGACACTTTCCTCTTACACTCTTCAAATAACAAAGTAGTGACGTCCAAAGTCTATTATAAATTGAATAATTTCCAATATTGTGATGGAATTCACTTGTAGCCATAACTTACAACTGATCTCAGCGATTATTATATTGAAATGGCGCATAATGAATTATAGCATAATGCAGCTATGTTTACAGTGTCAGGATGATTTCAAAATTGGCAGAGAATGTTTGTTGTCTTTGCTAAGAATCAATAGTCCTATATGATTTATATATTGATGTAATAACAGGAATTATTGTGAAGCCTTACAATGTTTTGCTCAATATAAATTTGGAAAAAAAAAATTCAAGAAATAAACGGTCACCAAATGAATGTCGATATTTCTTCCTCCCTTGAAGAGATAAACGAAGGAGGAAAGAAAGGCATTATTTTAATGAATAAAATTAAGCAGGAAAATGAATCTCTATCAAATGAAAACATTAAATTAATTAAACAAATTGCAAAATTGAAGAATCAAGTAGACAAAGCAGTTGGATCTTCAACAGATGCTGAGCAAGTTCGAGTTAGAAACCAGCAATTAGAGCAGCAACTTCTAAATGCTAACTCAAAAAGTGCTGAATTCGAAAATCGTCTAAATATTGCATTAAAGAAAATCGACGAGTTACAAAATTGCAAAGATCAACATTCTAAAGTTCAAAAACCTGCTTTTGGCTTAAATGCAGAGTTAAACGAAAAAATTAATACATTAACGACTCAAGTTAGCGGATTAGAAGATCAATTAGCGAAAGAGAAATCTGCAAAGTTTGCTCTTCAAACAGAGATTGATCAGATTTATACATTTGCCAGCCAATGTTTTAAATCAACAATTCAATCTTCTGCATCATTAATTGAGAATATTCTTAAGCTACAGGAAATTAAAGAAAAATACAGTGATTCCCAAGTGCAAATGAACCATTTATTGAATAAATGTCAGAAATTAAAGCAGCAAATTAAGAAAATTGACGAAACATCGCAAAATGCTATTACATCTATTAAGTTAGATAATGAAAGATTGGTCAAGAGCTTGGAGAGATATAAATCTGAAAATATTAACTTAACTCAAAATTTAAACGATTACAGAAATAAAATTGCAAAACTTGAACAAGATAATATTGATTCGAACTCAAAAATTCAACAGCAGCAAGAACAGTCGATAAATTCAATACGAGAATTACAAAATAAACATCAACAAGAAATTGAAGCATTGAAACAGCAATTAAAGAATGAACAAGCTAATAACAATAAATTATCCGGTGAAATACTGTCATTAAACCTTAAAATTGACTCTTCCGAAAAAGATTTGAAAATAATCCAAGAAAAAATGAATGTTTTACAATCAAAAGTTACGAAATGGAAAGGGAAGTATCGTGAAGCACAGGAGAAACTTCAAACACCACCACCTCCCCCTCCAAAACCAGAAATTTCACCAGAAGAGTTTGAAAAAGTTGTGAAAAAGAATACTGATCTTTCGAATGAAAATGAACATATTAATGAAATCTTAAAGCAAAAGGAGCTTTTTGAGTCCGAAATCCAAGCAAAATTAGCTGAATCTTATAAATGCATCAAATACCTCAAGAAGGAAATCAAATCAATAACAGAACTCAATGAAATACCAAATGGAGTATGGTTGCATTGTAAAGTTCCCCGAGAAATTTCAGATTTCGTTCATGAAGTTTCATCCAACCCAGCAACGAAGCTTTCCATTAAAATTCCTCAAATAATAAACTCCATATATGAGTTTTACAAAGAAAGTAATGAGAAATGGGCAATTTCTGCTCAAAAAGCAAGAGATGAATTAGAAAATTCGAAAAAGAAGCTTAATATCCTAACATCATATTTAAGTAGACTATTCCCTGATGTTGTTATTAACTTCGAAGGAATTGCTGATGAAGAAAAAAGTCGAGAAATTCTTCATACTTCAATTTTGAAGTGGAAAGAAGCTCAGAAAGACACAAACATGCAACTAGATGAACTTAGAAAGTCGGTTAATGTTCATTTTGGAGTTCTCGGAGTAGATTCATTTTCAGATGCCAGTAAAGCAGTCACAGAATTGATATTTAAGGCCAAGAAACTAAAGAAAGACAATAAATTGTTATCAAATCAATTATCTCAGTCTCTTCAAAACGAGGAATCCCTAGAACGCTCATTAAAGAAGATTCAAGATCAAAAAGCCAAAACATTGGACACGATTCATGTTTTAGAACAAGAGAATACTCAACTTGCCCAAAGAATCCATGAATTAGAGACACTTCCTCCAGATCCAACGATGACATCTCAAATTCAAAAGCAAAAGCAAGAACTTGTTCAATTTGATAAAGTAATTGGTGATCTAAATATCAAATTACAAGCAAGTTTGGATGAAAATGCTGCTTTGGTTCATGAAAATGAACAATTGAAATCAGAAATCCAAGAAGCCATTGAAAGTATTAAGAAATTCAAGGCGCAAGGTGATAACATGAAGGAAGATGCTTCGTATAAGTATGATGAACTTGTTACAAAGATAAAACAGCAAAAGAAACAAATTAAATTTGAAAGAACAACATTTGAGAGCCAATATCAAAAGCTACAAAGCCAATCTGAGCAGATTATAGCATCTTTGAAGACCCGTATTGCAGAATTGGAATCCGAAAACGAAAAAATTAATAATAAAAATGTTGACTTGCAAACAAGTCTCAAAACGGCCGAAACGAAGTTCGCCGCACTCCTTGATGAGAAAGAGAGAGAAAAGAAGAACTTAGAGTCTCAATTACAGGCAAGATTAAATTCAATGTCAAGTGATATGCATCATCAAGTCGAAAATGCACAGATGAACACAGATTTGGCTATGAAACATGTTATGCAGACCCTTGTCCATGCTTTTCCGTTCTTATACAACTCTGGCTCTGATTTATCAATTTGCGAATACGAAGGATACATTGCAGCACTAAAAGAGAAATACGATGACAAGCAGAAGCTTGAAAACGCCATCAGATCAGCTCTTGGATTAAATGGAAACGATTCTATAATGAGGGCTATCAATAGCTTAGTGAAGAATAGTTATTCTGGGATTTCATCTGATATTTAATTAATTTTATGTTTGATTGTTTTTTTATAATAAATATGTGTTTATTATCTGTTTTATTTCAAATGCACTTATTTAAAAATCATTTGTATATATCTCTCCATTAGTATTTCTTCGTCCAGAGCCTTTTTGAAGAAATAAATGGGCTTAAATGTGATCTAATTCATGTTGAAGGATTGATTTAAGTAATGCACAAAACATTTGGCGAATGACATTTCAAGCATTCACTAATGATGTCTGGATTTCCACCTATAAATGAAAGACCAAGGCAATTTGAAGAAATTACAATTTGTTTGATTAATTCGTCTATTTTGCTTTCATCTGGCGTATTTAGCTTGTGCAACGTTTGGAATGTATCCATATATTCTTTGTATAAATCCAAGATCTCGCAATAGTATAAAATCACTATTAATCGAAATTGTTGGTAAATAATGTACGATTATTTTTGATTCAAATTCTGTTGGTGCTTGTATCATGAAATATTAGAAGAATTGATGGACATCTCGAAGATTTTATACAGACTTCTAGATCGTATTGAAGATAGTATAGTGTAGATATATATTCAACACGAGCAATCCGGAATTTTATGGCGTTCAATATTTATCTCAAATTTTCAAACAATTCAAATTTTTGTGTTTTTGATAAAACCTCTTGTTTCAATCAGTACATTAACAATGGTTGTTTGGTCGGTCTTGTAAATTATTGAAATCAGTTTGAAGAGAATCCACGGTTTTACCCATTTCACTTTCTGAAAAGGATGGAAGGATTCACATGGATGAATGAGCCACTTAATTTCAAATCATTGCCAAATGGTGTTGAGATAACAACAAAGAAGGATACTGATTTTTGGCAAAGAACTCACTATGGTTTCAGGAGAGATGATGGTCATTTCCTTTACAAGAAGATTAAAGGCGATTTCATTCTTGAAGCTTCAACAGACTTTGCAGGAAGTGTCATCTATGATCAATGCGGAATCATGGCATGTGTTGATGAAAACAACTGGATCAAATCAAGTACTGAATTCGAGAATTCTGAGTTTAGTCATCTTGGTGCTGTTGTTACAAACAATGGCTATTCTGATTGGTCAACACAAGAGATCCCTTCTACAGTTCATTCTGTTAAATACATTATGGAGAGAACAAAAGATGCTTTCTTCATCAAAGCTTCAATCAATGGTGGTAAGTTTACTCAAATCCGTGTTGCTCATTTCGACGCTAACCCAGAAGAGTTAATGGTTGGTGTTTATGCTTGTTCACCACAGAGGGAAGGTTTTACATGCAAGATCACAGATGTTAAAATTACACCAAAATAAAAATAAAGTCTAATTATTTTATAATTTTGAAAAAATTATTTTACCGATACAGTAAATAAAGCATATATCATCATTTCTAGAAAAATTCATATTGGATTTCATATTGGTATTGTCCCAATCCAAGAGTTTGGTTATAATAAATTATTAAAACATTAAAACCACTTATGGTTTGAAATTCGCTCAGAATTAGATCATCCCTGTAAAGTCTGAATGCAGTTTTATAAAGATTGGAAGTATTAATAATTGGACACTTCATCCAACAATTTACTTGATTACATATGAGTTCAACATACTTTTGATGTATCCACTACTCATGTGATTAGATAATGCTTCTTAAATATATATCTTCAAATAAGATTAAAGAAATTATCGACCAGATATCCTATATCGCTTAACCTCATTCGCACACTTGTATCATGGTGGCAGCTTCTCATCACAGCTTCAATCAATGGTGGCAAGTTTACTCAAATCCGTGTTGCCCACTTCGACGCTAACCCAGAAGAGTTGATGGTTGGTGTTTAGCTTGCTCACCACAGAGGGAAGGTTTTCCATGCAAGATTACAGATGTAAAACTTACTCTATAGTTAATTAAAGTCTAATAATTTTTATTTTTGAATTTTTGTTTAACTGATAGAATCATGAGTACAGAAACACAGATTAGAGAAATTCATCAATGTTAATTTTTCTTAAATCCAATATTACATTCAATTTTATTGTGGTATTAATTGAAGCGATTTCTCAATCCTACGAAAGGGTTTATGGAGCTCCTGAATCTATATCAGTAGAGACCTTTTCCCATTTGGACTTCTGCTGATCAGAAGATCAGCGAAGTCTTTCTTCGCTTGTGGAGCTCCATAGCTCCCAATCCTACGAAAGGGAGCTGTGAAACTCCTCTGTTCCGACTTCCAGATGCAACTATCTACAATTCCTTCTACTGATTCAAGAACAAACAGTGGAAAAAAATTGTAGATAGTTGCATCTGTTAGAATCAACTGAAGCATTCCCTCTCGGAGGCCTCGGGCCCTGGTGTAATGTACCAGAGCCTCAAGTTTCTCTTGGGATAAATCACACCTTATTTTACACTGTCAAAAAAATATTTTGACAGTTTACAAAAATTTACATTACATATTGTTACCTATTGGACATTTCCAGCCAATGTCAATATGAATTTTAATCCATTTGTGATGCTGATCATATATCCGAATACCAAAGGCCAAAAGAAACTTGGGGAAAATTTATAAAAAGTGACATTATGAATTTAGACGAAGATTATTCGTATCCAAACTCAGAAGATGAAGATGTTAATGTCGTTTGTCATATTCCTCATAAAGAAGCCAAAGCATCCGTTTCATTAACTGTTCAACAGCAAAAACCAAGATTACCACAACATACAGGTTTCAAGCCAACAAATCCAGTATTCTATCCAAAGTTGAAGTTTGTTAAGCCAGATCTTACGGAAGGTGCCGAAAATAAGCTATGGGTTAAGATGCCAAGCACAAGAGATACATTTTTCAATTATGGTTTCACGGAAGAAGTTTGGGAAGCATACAAGTTCAAACAACTGGAACTCAGAAGAATATTTGCCAAGAAATCACGTCATCGGGATGCTGCTAAGACCGAAGAAAAAACCGAAAAGAAGGACGAAAAGGAATCACGATAAGTCCATTTACCACATTATTCTTATACTCCTAGAGATATTATCAAAGCAATTTTTGAATCTTTTTTTGATAATAATTTACATCTCCGATGAAATCTCTATCAATAAACTTTGTATGTTTAAATAACCGTTCAAAATCTTCATCTCTTTTTATTCGTCTACCTTCTATTTCGTTCCCTTCTTAATCTTGAATAAAAATTTCAATTTTCTTATTATTTTCACCTTTTTTCTATTAAAAATATTCACATTGCTTAAAGTTAATGATCAATATTTGCCTATTCAAGTAAAATGAGATTATCAATTTTTATCTCACACAAAAGTGACATTTTTTTATGTTTTGTGGAGGAATTTTTGCTTTTTGTCCAGAGAATGACGATATTTTTGTTGTTGCTGATGGGCAAGAAATGACTCAACACGATCTCCTTAATATTTGTCGTGGCTCGATGAGTATTTTAATAAATAGCCCAATTGAACAAGGTGCCCGTAAAGTTTTGTTCGTTGAAGCAGCATCAACATATCTTGGACAATACAAAAATTATATTTTTGGTATTTCAACTTATCATCAGCAAAGTATTCCTTTATTAGCAGAATTTCATGCTCGTTTACTCGGTTTATTAAAAGTTCAATTCCCGAATGAAATAAATTTGACTAACCATCATGCTCGATCTATTCTATTTCACGCATTAAAGGCTCTTCTAGGAAATGATATTACCCACAAAGCAACACCTACAACCAAACTGCTTAACATTCCAGAAACAGTTGCCCTCAATACAGCTGTCTCATTCAAATTATCTCCAAAGATGGATGGAGATTTCTTCATAAATGATCAAGCGGATGCCCAATCAATGGACGTTTCCTCGACATTGGATTCAATGGCTTCCGGTTTGTACAACCAGAACCCATCTATTTCAGAAGAATCTGAAACAGGAACAGTTGATTTGGCGATTGAAGAAGAAATTACATTCGATGTAGCAAATAATGAGATAAAGAACAGTGATGTCGAAGTCCGTATCAGTGCCGTTGTTCAATGCAAGTCTGACTTAGGTGGATTATTCTTAAAGGTTCCACCTCAGCCGCCGACAGTAAATGTTCGTCCAAACCCTCAGTTTATGCAAGAACAGAACGAATTCTACGTCTGCGCTACTCCTGCAAAGGCTTTAGCCGAATCTCAGCTTGTTCTATTTATCAAGGGTGAAAACCCAACACCAATCCCACCACCATTCCACGTCAATACGTTAATACAAGAAAACGAAGAATACGCCAAGGTTACAGTTACAATATCTTCAGAAATTGAAGTCAACTCTATCGTTATCGGTATTGAAGGTCAAGGCCTTAATGCCGACACTGTTTCATCACCAAATAGCGAGCTCTCCAACGCTAATGGCACAATGTTTATCCTCAGACCAAATGAATCGATTCCAGCCGGTGGAGGCCAAATCGAGGCTTCATTCTTCGGTAGACTCGACTCGAAGTTTACAAGACCACAAACTGTTTCTATTCAATGCAATTTACCAAACTACTTATTGGGCGACTACAAGCCTGAGATGAAGCCAGGATCAAACTTCATCACTGGTGTTGTTCAGAAGAAGACATTTGTTCAGAAATCTACATGGGCTATTAGCGAATAAGATATTATTTATCATAAAAATCTTTTTAATGTTTTTCTAACCGCAATTTTTATATTTTTTTAGATTTTGTTTCAGTAATTGTGAGTATAATTACCTTCATAAATGTAAGAAGAAGGATAGAGTTTTTAGATTTTTAAAAAGATCATATATTTTTGGAAAATTTATATGCAAAAACTATTTAACTATTAAATTAAAATTAGTTTATAGATTTAATTTTGAGTTATTTTTCCAAATTTTTTTGAAAATCCAAAATTTAAATCCAAAATTCTAGAAAAATATTTTGATAAATTGAATTTTGAATTTTTTTTGGAAATTTTATGATAGAAATTTTACTATCGGAAGGCTTAAAACGTAATTGCATGATCTAAATTAATATAAATCATTAGTCAAAGCAAAGATAATATACGATTATTTTGAATTTAGAAGGTTTTAATCTTTCGGCTCGTAATACTAAACATTTATGTAACAAAGTAAATAGAGATTCATTCGAAAAAAGAAAATTTAATACATTTATTAATCATGACATAATTCTAAGAGGATCAATATCGACAAATTGGTTAGTTCTTTCCTTGGCCGCATTCATGAAGTTGGAGATATCCATTTCCATGATATGCTTGACCATGGCGGAAATATTTGTAAAAGCAAATTCAAGTTCAGCTGTCATCTCAAGGGATTCGATATACGGCTCGAACTGCTCGACCATGGCCTTGAGGCTGACCGGAGCAGCGAGTACGAGTACAATGAGGGAAATATCGAAGAGATCGTCGAGACAAAGTAGGTGATCACTCTTTGCGTAAATTTTACCGTTGTTTGCGTTAGTTTTGATTTCGAAAGAAATTTCAGATGCGATTGATTGAATTGTCTTAAGGGCTTCATGGACGGCTCTGCAGAAGTCAAGAGGACAATACTGGAACTGGATCAACTCGAAGCAGCCGATAGCTTCCTTGTAAGGGTTGTCAGCTGGGAATGATTCCAATGTGAGTCCTTTGAGGTTTTCTGGGAGGAAATTGCCGGAGAAACCGAAGCCGATAGGGGAAAGCTTACGGAGGGAAACAATTCTGGCTGTAAAAGTTGAGATATCTGCTGAAAGAATATTTGGTCCAATCGTAGATTGATAAATCTGGGAGAAGAAGTAGCGCGCGAACAAGATAAACATGTATTGCAGGTTTTGGTCTGAATCAATATCGTAATATTTCATAACTTCTTTTGATTGGGTAAGAATAGCTTTTCCGATAGCATTTGGATGGGAAATTGAGAGATCAATTAATTTATCGAGCTTCTGTTTGATTTCTGTTGGGAAACTCTGAACAAAAATTTCGAATAACGATTCAGCAGTTCCTAAATCTGGGAAGTAACCAGTTTGAGGGTTAAAAAGCTTTCCAACAATATTACGAATCGTTGGCCACGAGGAATCAATAGTCTCAGTTTTCTTTACTTCTTTGTCAACTTGATGAATTATTCGTGACATCTTGATGTACTCAGGGTTCGTTTCTTCGAAGTTAGTAATTGCCTGCTCAAGGCCGTTAATGTCGATTCTAAGCTCCTGGGTGACTGTCGAAGATGAAAAAATGTTGATTAAATGTCCGATAAATTGCAATATCTCTGATACGCGATCGATGTTATCGCGACAAAGCTCAACACGGTCAACTCTAAGAGTGTAAGTCAAGCTATGCAAGCCTCTTCTGTTGAGAGAAGCTCCAAATGGAACTTTTTGATTAGCATATTTCTTATTAATCTTTTCTATGAGGGTATCGACGCGGGTCTGCTGACCAAAAAGAATAGGTGTGATGTTTTTGAAGCGAGCAAAATCATTTTGAGCTGATTGCTGAATCTTTTCTTGAATTTGCTCTTGCGTAAGACCAAACTCTGCTATTGGGGAGAGCCTGACAAATTCCTGAAGTGCTGGATGGCTTTTCAGGAAATTTTCGACAAGTTCATTTGGTTTTTCAGTTTTCTTCGTATTTAATACATCTTTAGAGGAATCGCGCTTAAGTGTTGGTCCGAAAAGATCATCTTTTTTCTCTTTTGGCTTTGAAGCAAACAAATCATCATTTCCGAACAAGTTTAACGCTGGATTTGATTCAACCTTAGATTTAGAGAAACCTGTACTTTTTCCTGCAAGACCTGATTTCTTTTTCTTTACAGACGATGTATCATTAAAAAGAATATCCGCCATTTGTTTTGCCAAATTTCACGTAAACTATTCAATTTTTCAGACTAAGTTATTTTCAAACTATCATTTTCATAAGAGAGTGTATGATATGAAATATATAAGAATTTCACAAAATAGTTGGATCATTTTAAAAATGCATTTTTGAATCAAACTTCAGCAATGCATGACTGTCATATACTAAATCTCGTTGTTTTCGCGGTTTTCATTCACAAATATGTATTTTTTTACTTCAAAATTTGCGTCAGATAGCGAAGCAAACGGGATAAATTCATACACCATCACAGCAATCAAACAACCAACCAACACCTCGTCCTCACACTTTTTCATCCCCAGTATACTATTAATCTTCATTAGTATTCATTATTTCTTCAGAAATAGAATTGTAATCAGTACTATATGGGCTAAGAGTGATAAGAACATTCAAATATTGTGATTTAACATAAGTGTATCTAATGAAAAACAAGAATTCTATTATAGATAGCGCTTATTTATGAATTCAATATTGTTTCTTTCTATAAAGAGATGTATATATATATCAGCTTCCTGTGATATAGGAAATTTTATCATCTCAAATATTTGTTGCCTGGTGAAGAGATCTTAGTACTAAGAAATGATATTAGAGTTCCCTCAAAATATCGAGCGCACTCAGAAAAACATATGAATAGAAAATTGTTCATCCAACAAGCTACATATATTACAACAATAAATATTTTATTTGATCTGAATTTTAAACGATCATCAACTTGAAATTGAAAGATCCCCTTATTCGTGTATTTATTGATATTTACATCATAATCAATCAAATTTACCTTCATAGACTCTCTCAATAAGTCTTTCATGTCTTTGTCCCACATCTGGGGTATAATATCTTAGCATGAGCTATTGCTATTGCAAAATGGGTAATAGCTGATGGGCCTTAAATTTGAAATTATATTTTAACAATTGTCTAAACTATATTTATGGAATTATACAGGGAACAAGAATTGCAGCATCCAACATACTGTTCCAATAAGGCATTTTACAATGATGTAAACTATTCAAAATTGAATACTTACTCCTTTTGTCTCACTCTTGCTAATTTTTTGAATGACTTTGAATTACAATTTAATGCGTGTTTCTTGATAATACTTATGTCTTTAGAATTTTTATTCTTGGAATTGTAAATAAATCATCTTTTTTTTTCCGAAAAAATAATATTTACAACAATACAATAATATAAAACAATGATTTAAAAATCGCCGTGCAGGAATTTCAAGTCCTCTTCAATATCCGAATTCATATCATATGTATATTTATCCTCTATTATCATATCATCCGGCTCTTCTTCATCTAAAATCACAACTTTTCGTGGTGTTAATTCAACCTCTTTGTTTAAATCGTATTGGTACAAACCTGACACTGAATATGAATCAGAATCATCGCTGGATTTTCTCCATAAAGTAATACCAATGATTGCTAAAGTAAAGAGAACAAAAATTACTATGACAGAAATCAAAATTACTTGAGATGATGTTAATTTGTTCTTTGCTATTCCTTCTAATTCAGATATAAAAATAATTGATGTATTACTGAACGTTTCAATGGTCGTTTGAACCCATTTTATAATGGTTGTTTCAACAAATGATGTTTTTGTAAATGATAAGTTAACAACTGTTGAAGATTCGACAAGTGATGAGTTTGTAATAGTATATTCTGTTGTACTTGTTACGGTAATTGTTACTTCTAGAGATTGAGTCATTGTTTCTATTAATGTCTTTATAACTGTTGATTTGATTGAATATGTTTCGTTTGATTTCAATGGAGGTAATGATGATTCTGATTCACTCACTTTCGGTATCTCTTCTTTTGATGGTTCTGTTTCTTCTTCATCTTCGTCGTCGTCTTCACCAATATCATCTGGTATTGGAAGTGGTGTTGGTTTTACAACTGGATCTAATGCTGGTCTAATAAAATCTTTCTTGAATTTAATTACTGCTGTTCGATACTGTTTTGTTGAATTCAATTTAACATACGTTTTATATTCATTATCAATATTGCAATCTAATTCATGCCCTTGTGCAAAACATTCAAGATCTTTAGCTTCCGAATTCAAAAAAACATCATATATGTTATTAGGTTTGCTTGATTGAAGTACAGATAAATAACAAGCTGAATTGTCATTTTTGCAAAAGCCGGAGTAATAGTTAAGTTTTGTTCCATTAATTGCACCATTTGCATTGGCCATAAATGTAGAATTCTCAAAGATTTCTTTATATGTTTTGCCAAATCTTTCATATTGGCCTCCTAAATATGTTTCAATACCTAGTTTACTATCCCAGACATTGTCAAATACTCTGTAATGATATCCTGTTGGTAATGCACCAATGATTGGTGTAACTGATGACCAGTCTTCACGTTGATCAGATACATTGATGTCCATGATAGAAATAACTTTAGATCCAAGTGAAAATCATGTGTTCCAAAGTCCAACCTTGTTTGTGTGATTAACAGCTAAATAATCTGCATAATTATTCAATGTATACAAAGAGGAGCCAATATATTGTGCAAACTGTGGATGAACAACAAAACTTTCGACTAAGAATCCATCTGGGGAATCTCCATAAAGCAACTTAAGAAGTTTTAACATTCCACATTGAATACTATAATATTTCTTATCTTCTTCATCACACAATAGATATGGTGTTAATTTGTCTGCATATTCTGTGTTGTAATTCATATATCGAAGATCAAATCTAGAAATTGCAATCCCATCATACTCGTGTTTTAACTTCCTCCTGAAATACTTCTTCAGTTGATAATCAATAACTTCGTCTGCCAAGTCAACAAGATAATCTTTATAATTCACTGTTTCTTCGATAATGATGTTCTTTAATGTTTTGTCTTTGACTCCATATTTATCTTTCAAATAGTTTTCTTTAGTTTGTTTTTTGTTCGTGTTTGTGTAGATTCTGATGATTGATGGATTCATTTCATAAAAGTTTTTAGTTCCTTCATATTTTTCGTCTGAGCCCCATAATAACTTACAACCGTATTGAGTGACAATGAATGGGCTCCAATTACTGATGTTTGGATTCTTACAAATTGAAGATTTGCCGTATGGATTGATTCCATATAAGTCTGGGAATGCTTGATGCCAAACTTCTAATGCTTCCAAATACGATCCTGTTTCCGCTTCAATAACAATATATGATATATTCACATCTTTAATCGGTTTGATATTCATATATAAACATGAAGTATTTGATCCATATAAGCTGTTGTCGCTGTATGACCAATCAAAAAATGTTTCAGTGTTGAAAACATCAATACCGATGATATGTGTTCCGTTTGCAATAATTGGAGAAACAAGTTGTTTATCATTTCGCCCTGAAACTGGAACACTATTGTCTTGAATAATTGGTGAGATAGAATATGCACCATTTAGCAACATTGTTGATAATTGAATTTTTGGATTTTCTTTGTATAATTTAATTGTTGCTCTGTATGCAGTCTTGTTGTTCTTTGTTGTTATATTTGTCTTAAATGCTGTTGGATACCTTTCTTTTCTGTTTTCATCTTCAGAGTAATTCTCAATTTTCTCAAATAAAATTAATCTTCGAACTGTTTCAACTTGAACTTTTGTAAAAACTGTCTTTAATCTAAGGGGTAAAACATATGCTCTAATAGATTTTATTTTTCTTGTGAGATTTGTATCCTGACAGAAAAATTGAGAACCATCAATTTTGTTTAATGAAACTGAACTTTGACTATATCTGTAATCAACATAATTTTTGCATCGATTTGTACTTCCATCATCATTGTTAAAATATATTTTAAAGTAGCATCGGCCATAATGCGTTTTTTTGCATGTAAACTTTATTTCATCCCAGGTTTTATCAATGAAATTAGGATCGTTTGAGAGATCTTTTTTGAAATAGCCGAAGCAATCGTCATCTGATGTTTCAATAATTGATTTAGGTGGGTCATAATCAACAGGAGGAGAATATAAATAATCTGTTTCATTACATTGAGGACCACCTATTGCATCATTCCATTTACATTCAATTGGATAATTATAAGCAGGACAATAAATTCCATTTTGGAATTCACTTTTTCCAAATGTTAATGTTTGTTTTTCGAAGTCCTTGGATAGATATCCAAACAGAAGTTCTTCAGACTTGGAAAGCTCAAAGAGAAACAGAAACATAAGAAAATCTGAATGAATTTACAAAATTGAAAAAAATTAGAGTAAAATATATGTCTGAATTGTAATGTTTTTATGTTCTAAAACATTTTAAATGAATATTTTTTGTGAGCTAACCTCAGAAAAAAAAATGTTCCGCGGTTTGTTCATTCATAACTAGTATGATACCTTCATCATTAATGAAAAATTTCCGAAAATTCACTGTATCGTTGATAAATCTGATAAGTTTTTGAATTTAAACATAATGTCCTCATTCCAATAAAATTTTTATGTCGCTAGAGCATATAATATAGTGAGAATTTTCATCAACTTCAACTACTATAATATTGGAATTTTCATCAAATCAAAAAAAATTTGGAATTTTCATCAACTTCAACTATGATCTGGAGGAATACTAAAGGGTTTCTAATCACATTTAATGGGTTAGTACTCTTTAATTCCAAATATTATTGATTTTATTTACTAAAGAATCAAATTATTATCAAAACATTCATTCGACACATCAAGCAATGCTCATTGTGATATCGAAACAATCCTAAAACCTTCTTTTTTTATTAAATTTTGATTGATTTATCGAAATCGAATCGATAACTATCAACGAATCCTAAGTATTCCAAATACCTTTAAGTTTGAATTACATTTCAACTACAAGTTTAACAAATTCTTTTCGGTATTTCTTATAAAAAAATTAAATAGTTAAGTTTAGCAAAAAAGAATTAAAATTTATTTATTCATCTACTTTGACTAAGGGTTTCGTTTTGCTAAAATTGTCACTTTTATAGCATATTTGTTTTTGGATGTTTTGCGAAACCAAAAAAAAAACTATGATATACAATATGTGTGTAAAGAAAATACTTTATTTACTAGTTAAAAAATCATTTGGTATTGATCAAGTTATTTTTTCTGGATAAGATATTATATGGATAATTGGATAGAAAATACAATTATATAATCTTGTACCTGGTTTAATTAAGCTAATTGTCATCAGAAACTTGTAATTTTTATGAATTTCAGATTTTCTTTTCATTACTGCTTTTCTTAATAGGTCGAGTTCTTATTTACGTTATAAAGTATGATATTTACAAATATCAAGTTATCATGTTTTTTGAGAAATTATGAGAAACAAACAAAAATGAAAAAGATAGGAATAGCAATGAATAGTGATGTGGGTATAGAAAATGTAAGAGATATGAATGCAAAGCAATCAGTATTTAGGATATTGACCATAGATTTCGAAAAAAAATGCTGCATATTGTGCGAAAACTATGATTATATTATAAGGCTGTCATTTAAAGCATAATGAAACTATTCCCTTTTCATTTTAATCGAATAAGATAGTAAAGATTTTTGAATTAGCTAGAAACTGATGAGATGTTTTCACAAATCAGATTTTTAATCTCTATAATGCATAATTCACTCAATATCTCAATTTTGATATTGCGAGATATTTTTGCTATCGGTTTCGCAATTTTGACACAATAGCAAGAGGGTTCTATAAGCATTATTATCAACGTAGAATCTGAATATCATATCAGAAAATGTCGCAAATCTGACATTTACCCGACCAAATAGCAAAAATAATTGAATACTTTTCGCAAAAACTTTAAAAATCGATAAAAATATGAAATATAGATATTAAAGAGACTTTTTGTATAATATTCATAAAGATTTTCCAAAAATATGATACCGCAAAATTAAAAAAGTGACGTCTTGAGTGGAGTCAAAGGTCGAAATTGCTAGCTAAATGTTTTTTTAGCGAAATTGCGTATTGTACGTTTTTTTCGCAAAACGAAACCCTTACTTTGACGAAGATTCAGATACTTCTGAGATCTCTTAATCATCATCTAATTTAATAACTTTCTTAGAACCACTTGCAGTGCCATCATTGGATCCACTGTAGCTACTTGTTTCTTTACTGTCTGAATTCTCTTCAGCTTTCCTCTTTTTTTCTTCTTCCTTCTTTTCTTCAGTAGATTTCAACTGTCTCTTTACCAAATTATAGTAATGACCTTTCATCTCAACGAGTTCCTTGTGGTTACCAATTTCTACGATTTCACCTGCATCAAATACGTAAATTCTTGTTGCATTTCTGATTGTTGATAATCTGTGAGCAACAATTACACCTGCTCTTGTTTCAAGGATCTTATCAAGAGCACTTTGAACTTTCTTCTCAGATTCTGCATCCAAAGCAGAAGTTGCTTCATCGCAAATCAAAATTGTTGGATCTTTGATAAGAGCTCTAGCAATTGCAATTCTCTGCTTTTGGCCACCTGAGACTCCGTATTCTCAAATCGTTATTCTTGAACCAATGATTATTTTTGATTTAAATCATCAATCTGGAAGAAATAGTTCACACTTTAACAACTTCATATGATTTTTTTCAATATTAAATCATGAATGATACGTTCTCCGTATACTTTTTTCGGAGAAATAATGATCATTCATCTAGAAACATATATTTTATCACAATTAAAAGATCCATAAGGAAAGAACAGAATCATTGCTCTTTCAAATATGGGTGTATCAATAAAGAATGGCATATAAATGAATCGTATCTGTTTTTGCTTTAGTAAATTTATTTTTAGTCAAGAATTTAAAACTGCGAACATTGTTGAATCATATCGAACAACACAACTCTTGTAAGGAAGGCCAGTAAATGAAATTCCCAATATTAGGAGATTTGTGATTTTAAATATTTAAATTCCAGAGAAAATTTCTTATCTTACCAACAAATCTTTTTGATATGGCCAAGTTAAATTAATTCAGTGATTATTCCTGACTCCAGTATTCGAATCAAAAATTTTTCGAATGGTCCGTTAAAATAAAAAAAATTCATTGAAAACATGAAATGTATTAGGATATAGTACTGACCATAATTGGCCACAGAAAAGATCACTTCATCAATATTTTGAACGGACAAAATTTTTAGATTTAAGAAAATTGAGAGGCCGAAAAATGAAAATTTTGTTCATTCTCACTCGATAATTATTAATAGGTATACTATGAGGAGTATTTTTCTTTTGAATGAAATTCGGTTTCGTAAATTTAAATTGACATTGGAATGAAAGCTAAATTTCGTCTTATGACAACTGGTAAAGACATTGAATTAGATTGCACACCTTATCAGAGTATATACGAGACAAAAACGAAATTAGCGGATGTCTTATCTTCAAATGTAGATGATTTACAAATTATTTTCAGAGCCGTTCCGGTCGACAACTCCAAGTGTTTCAAAGATCTTGATATTACATCAGGGCCAGCTCTATTTTTTGTCTCAATTAGTAATACACACAAACAAGTAGAAAAACCTCACAAATCAGCTTCTTCTAGAAGTAATCAAAAGAATGATAGAAAATACCAATACTTACCACCACGAGAACCATTTTACCAGCCAAGAGAAGAGAAAGTTCAAAACATGATAGCTATTCTTCAAGAATTAGGTTTTGAAAAGGAAATGTGTGCAGAAGCACTTAAAGCAGCATCATATAATTGTGATCGTGCTGCAGAATATTTACTTGCAAACTCAATTCCTTGCGATGTTTGCCAAGATGTTGATACTTTGTGTGAACAACGCAATAAAGTTTGCCAAGAAGCTGTAGAACAGAACGTAGGAGATTACTCTGCCAAGCTAGAACAGCTCTCGCCTGATCAAAGAGAGGCTATTAAACGCCTCGAAGCGAATGGTTTCGAAAAACATCTTGTTATTCAAGTCTACTATGCATGTGAGTTCAATGAGGAGAATGCATTAAATATATTAAGTAATATGGATACCCAGTAAAAAAATAATGTAATTTTTACAAAAAAAATTTGGAGAAAAAATTAATTTGTTTTTCATTTTCAAGAAAAAGACAGATGTATTCTTTTGGTCAGTGTAATAAACAGAAATTCATCAAAAGTGACAGCTCTCAATTTTTTGACATTTGTAAATTCTAAATTGAATAAGAAAAATGAAATAATACTAAGCATAATACAATATTCTAGATTTAATTATAATTAGGAAAAAGTGAGTTTTGAGAGTACTTTTCATAGGCATATAGAATGAAATCTTCTGAAAAATAATATCACATAAACTCATATTATTTTCTAATATATAACTATTTTATATAAAAATCAAATTCAATGATCTTAAAAGCGAAGGATAAACCTCAAAATTTACGAATATAATGAGTGGGAATATAATGCTTATCTATCATAAAACCATATGAAATATTAATTGTTGCTTTACGCCTAATTTTTGACGACAATTAGCAAAAAATGTTAAATGTTAACACTCAGTCCATTTGAATATGAAAAATAAAATTGACTTTGATTAAATGTTTTTATTTATCATGCAATTCTTCTTGCGACCAAAGATTTGAATAAAAGTTCAAAAAATAAGATAGCTTAAAAAATAATATACGGTAGTGTTTACTAATAGATGAATAGTATATAAATTCTATTAAAATGGATTTGATCCAAAAAAATATATAAAATTTGATCATAAATAAAATCGTTTTAAATTACTTCTTCATTTAAATTACCCAGATTTTCCTTACTTTTACCACCCCTCTAAAGCTGGGGACACCGCCTATCGTTGGGAGTAGCTATTAAATAGAACCACCAAGGGTATTTTTCGAACTGCCAGTGTAGTGGAAACATCCGACATAATGATTCATTATGCCAAGGTTTGATTCCCATTTAACCAATTTTTTTCTTTTTTGGATCATGAATTTTTTTTGGGTCACTATAAGATTTGTTTCATGTTCTAAATCTGCTGCATATGTAATCTATTTTTATTTACCTATTTTTTAAAAATCTATTGGATTGCCAAATTTGAATATATTTAACATCATAAAACTCCAAAAAAACTATAAATATATGTTTTATGCATAGTGCCGATACTCAAATATCAGATTACTTAGATCCATGAATAATATCCGAATTTTTTTTCTTAAAATTAAACTTCAAAACTTCTTGCAATCTTATTCTTAATCAATTGTAAATTTTTAAAACCATTTTTTAAAATAATTTTGCGTAAATTTTATTCTCATGTTGTTTTAATCGAAAATTGATACATTTTCAAAAAAATAATATTGACTTATGAAATTCATTTTTAAGGTGAAATACTATTGTTTTTATTAAAGTATATGAATAATATATAAAAAATTAATGAATAATATAAGCAGATTTTTAGTTTACAAAACAAATATGAGCAATGCAATTTCAAACTTTTGCTGGCAATTTCGATATTGCTCAAGTTTGTAGTATTTGTGATACCTATAACATCGGCTTAATCAAAATTTGATTTTTCTTATGAGTTATTGAGAAAATTTGATTGCAATGAGAAGGATTTCGACGTTTTTGATAAACTAAGAGCTGAGCTTTAGGGGTTCAGTTCATTTATGGCTGTAGTTTGATGCGTAGATCTCTTTTTTATTGTAAATTCTTTCAGCATGGAGATCGAGAATGAATCTTTTGAGAACTTTATGAGTTTTTACACCCGTAAAGAGGTCCTTCGAGGAAAGATAGTCCAGACTACATGAAGATGTGGGTTAACCAAAAAAATCCGATGGTTTCCCCATATTCATGTAGATCTTCGAAAAAATGAGCACCAAAAAAGCCAAAAAAATAGGCTTTTTATTGGATTTGTACACTAGATCAATAATCTATTTAGGATCTGACACTCTTTTTAGCCAGAGATATGAGGTCCTTTCTAGGAAAACGATCTATTCATCCATAAAAAAAATGAATTATCGTTTTCCCCAGAAATTACATGGGGAGTGGTAAAAGTAAGGAAAATCTGGGTATAACAATTATTTTTGGTTTTATATTTTTTTGGATCAAATCCATTTTAATAGAATTTATATACTATTCATCTATTAGTAAACACTACCGAAAAAAAAAAAAAAAAAAAAAAAAAGGTATTGGGGCTTCCAGGCACTTCGTGCCTTCTAGCCCTGAAGATGTTTAGTATAAATGAAGTTCTTATATACGGGTCTTCCAGGAGCTTTTCACAAATTATATATGTTTTCATGTTTTGTCAAGACTTCTTCGTAAAATCAGACAAAAATAATGTTTAGGGTAGAAGGTTAGATATAACCTCTTTTCTAACCTCTTTTCTACCCTCTTGAATTTTCAAGACTTCTTCGTACATGTTTTGTCACTTTTCTGTCACTTTTCAGGAAAAAACATTTTTATTATTATATATAAATGAATTTTACAAAACCACCGTTACCGTTCTTTGGAAATAAGAGTAAATGTAAAGATATTATATTGAGAGAACTTAAGAAACTACCGAATGGTCTAACATTTGTAGATTTGTTCGGTGGAAGTTTCTATATATCCCATTTATGTCATACAATATTCCCAGACTCAAAGATTATATGCAATGACTTCGACAACTATATGGACCGTCTCAAACATATACCAGACACAAACAATATATTGAAAGAGTTAAAAGAAAAGATACCTATAGGTAAGATGGAACGTATACCATTAGATAAGAAAAATATTGTGAGAGAGGTTTTGAAAAAAGCAGAATATATAGACTGGGATAGTATATCTTCTAGACTATTATATAGTGGTGCTATAAGAGTTCATGACATTGAAACACTTATGTCAAAAGTTTTATATCTTAACTATACAAATGTTTTCAAAGAGGACATAGAAAAATATATTGAGGGTATAGAGTTTGTGAGATGTCATTGGACAGAGTTGTATGAAAAATATAAAGACAAGGAAAATGTTTTCTTTATAGTGGACCCGCCGTTCTATAACACATGGGATTTTCAATACCAAGTAGACTGGACTTTGAGAGACTCTTTAGAAACTTTAGACGTTTTACATAACCATCCATGCTTTTACTTTACATCCGATAAAAGTGGTTTGGAAAGTGTCATGAGATGGTTAGAGGACATACATGACTATGAGTTTATATATGACAAGATAGAATATGAGAGAGGTCCCATAAACTGGAGAAAGTGTCATAACAAAGAAATTTTATTGGTAACTAAATGTGGTTTGAAATAGGACTACTTGTTTTAGGTTTTTTCCATTGTGTCATTTATTTATTTGACGTGGCAGAAAGATATAGAGAATATGAAGATGAACCAATGCCTGCAAATGTTCAGTATATGTACTCGTAAGAGATATTTTTATCTAATATTAAATGGACGCACAGAACTTAGCGAATGCACAGCAACCTGGACAACCAAACCCAGAGAATATTCCAAATGAAGTTAGAATACAAACTGCAATGGCAAACTATGGTCAAGTGCCAACAGATGTACAAATGCAAACTGCCATGTCAAATGACGCTGCGTTAGGCTTGCCACCATGGTATGCAAATATGAGATGGAAAGAGTTTTATACAAACCCTGAAGTGGGATATAAACAACTTTATGCAGATGACGCGAACACAGGAGTTGACCCAGAATATGTTTTCTACCAGAGGAGAAACAGAATGTATGAGCTCCAGTTAAAGAATGCTATGGAACTCAACAGGAAACGTAAGAGACTAGGCGGACATTAGATTTTTACATATAGTAAAATGGGTTTCTTCAGTAGTATTGGAAACTTCTTTCGAAATGTTGGAAGAGGTATATGGAATGGAATAAAATCTGTCGGAAGAGGAATTTGGAACGGAGTCAAAAATATTGGTAAAAGAGTAGGTCAGTTTGTTGGTATTATACCTAAAGACCCTGAACCAGAAGAACAAGCTCCTGTTATACAACAGCCTGAACCTGCACCACAGTCTAGTTGGCAACCAAATCCAACACCTCAACCGTATTAAAAAATTATATTTTTACCGTTCGATAGTAGTTGTATATGAAACTAAGTTCTAAGTAAAACGCATGGTATAATGGAATTATTCTTTTTCTTCCATCTGTAGTAAACCATACTTGAAAGTCTGAAATACTTCCACTCGGCGGCTCATATAACTTTGTAGGTTTTTCGTAAAAGTCATTTGCCAAGCATAAGAAAGAGTTTGGGCGCCAGAAAATGAAGCATGAACAATAATAGCAGCTGGGTCGAAAACATCTTTAAATAAATATGGTTCATCTCTTGCATATCGACTGTAAATATTTGCTAAAGGAAGTTCGACTTTCTGATTTAACATTCTTTGCAAATAATACCATGACATTGCAGTGAATTCTGTATATATTTGTTCGTCTTTCTTTGGATTGTCTTCGTAGATTTGAAATGACACTTGTGAATTTTGTTTGTCATATACAATTCTCACATAAAGTGTGCTCTCGGTATTTGCATATTCATCAGCATATTTTGCATAAACATGAATTTATTTTATCTTCTATATTTTTTAACGCAGTCTGTAGAGAAGATGAAAGGTCAACTTGTATTAGCTCAATTTCTTCCCAATTTTTCGTTTCCCTTCAGATATATAATCTATATGAACCTTACAATAAATGGAAAACTTTTATCTTCTACAGACACAAACTTCATTCTACGAAAGCCAATAGCTTTTTGACAGATGGGTCTCTTAGCCATCTTAATGGGTAGTCAAAACGATAGCCTTCATGCTTTACGGTCTCTGTCTCAAACTTTTGACCGACATTAGTAAAAAGTTCATCTAATGGTTTAGTTGTAGCAACTCTTGAATTTTCTTTTTTCTATTGGAAGCATATTTATATCTAGAATAAAAATGTCAAATGAAACAGCGTCTATGAGAGAAATACAACACAACCGACAACTCATTATACAAGCTCTAAATAGAACACATAACAAACTTTTCAAACTATTCTAAGATATCTGAGTCATTGAAAGAAGGAAACTTAAAAC